TACATAATTTATCATTACTGGAATATCGCTGGTATCCTCCTGTGTAAAACTGAGAGGAAGTATGTGTTAAAAATTCTACACATTTCCTTATCACTGTCAGTGAGCTGACCCGAGGAACTTTTGAGTGGGGCCTATCTTGTCCTGATCTTACTTCTGTATACCTGAAAGAATCCTTTTGGGTTAGTCTTCGATTCTCTTGCAACTTTAACCTCATAATCTCTTTTTGCTTTTCTAATTCCCTTTTTTATTTCTCTCTTTAACTGAATATATCGATTTCTCAATTGCCCCTCTCCTCTTTTGATTTGCCTATATATGCCTCTCTTTTGACCAATCAGATATTTTAATCTATTGTTCATCCATTTAGGATCATTTTTGTTTGATCTGATTTCCCCCATTTGGAACATAATTTGACCCGAGCAGCTAGAACTTGCCCTGGAAAGCATCATATCGGCAACCATCACCACCTACCTGACCCTTAGTCAGGTCATTCCAGTTCAGCCCACCTAAGTAATTTTTCAGTCCTATGAAATTTAGCCAAGCGAAAGTCAGGACGGAGACTTGATTGCCATTATTAGGGGAATTCCATGATATATTAAAACTGAGTGATTTGTGATCACTTTCCCCAAGCTCATCATTAACCTCAAGATTATTAATTAGTGTTTCCTACTGGCAAGAACCAAGTCAAGGAGGTTATTTCCCCTAGTTGGCTCTGTCACAAACTGTTTTAAAAAACAATCCTGGATCGTATCAAGAAAGTCACCTGACTCTAAATTTCCTGTCAAATTGCTCCAGTCAATCTGTCTATAGTTGAAATCTCCCATTAGCACAACATTTTCGTATGTAGATGCCTTACGAATTTCGTCCCATAGAAGTTTACTGCACTCCCTATCAAGATTTGGGGCCCTGTAAATCACACCCAAAATTAGTTTTTCTCGGCCCTCGAGAAGCTGTAACCAAACAGATTCAGTGGCTGACGCTTCTAATTTAATATTCTTGTCTAACACAACAATTTAAATTGTCTCTGACATACATCGCTACTCCACCACCTTTCCTGTTGACCCTGTCAGTGTGGAATAATTTATAGCCTTGTATGTGACATTCAGAGGGCATCTCTCTATCTTTCAGATTGAGCCAGGTCTCTGTTATAGCAATAATATCTATGTCTCCTGCACTTGCAATTAATCTTAGCTCATCTATCTTATTTCTTACACTCCTGCTATTAGTATAGTAAACCTTAAGGGAGCTAGTCCCTTGCTGCCCTCTGCTGTCCCCCTTTGTTTGCTGACCTGATCTATTGTCTTTATTTATAACTTCATGCTGAATGCCTTTTATACATTTACTGTTTCCAACCCAAGTGTTGCAACCTGCTTGTTTCCCACACACACCCATACCTCTATCTTCCATCAGTTTAAAATCATAGGCATTTCACCAATGGCCTTCTCAATCGAGTCTGCAAGTGCTACCACCCCAGCCCCAGAGAGATGTACCCCATCCCTTGCATACATATCATGTTTGCCATAAAAGTTGTTCCAGTTGTCAATGAATGGGATTGCAAGTTCCTTGCAGTATCTGTCTAGCCAGCATTTACACCAATTGCCCTAGACAACCATTCATTTCCTACTCCCCTTCTAGGCAAGATGCTACATATGATTGGGATCCCTCCCTTAGACTTAATGAAATCTATAGCTGACCTGTACTTATCTAGCGCTCTTCTCTCCTACCCTTCCCAATATCATTTCCACCAGCACTGAGACAGATAATGGGCTTGCTCCCATTACCTGACATGATATTATCCAGCCTGTTGACAATGTCCCCACACCAGCTCCAGGGAAGCACACTCTATCTCTCATCTTCTTATTCCTATTACAAAAAGCACGGTCAATGTATCTTACCTGAGAGTCACCAACCACAAGAATGCGCTTACCTCCATTAGCAGGGGCAGTAGTACCCTTACCTTCACTGGCCACTGAAGTACATTCATCCTGAAGAACAGAGAAGCGATTTCCTACCTTCAGATCTTCACTCTTAACTTTCCTTACTCTGATGCGCCTTCCATTACTGTGAACTACTCGCCACTTGTAGCAGGTGTTGGGCTGCACCTCACTGCTGGTAGCCGTTGCTGCCTCCCCAACTACAGCCTCCTCACAGCGAGAGACAGACTGCACCTCGCTGCTAGAAGCCTCATTCCCCACAACTCCAGCCACCTCACACTCTCTCCCAGACCCATTGAGGTGGACCTTCAGCCTCCTAATCTCCTCCTGGAGAAGCAAGACCTCCTCCTTCAACTCTCCAACCTCAATTTTTAAAACACTGCAGAAGCAAGCCATGCTTTGTAACCGTCCACACTAATCCCCAAGGCAGCTCAGGGTCTGTGACCTCACGTCACGTCAAGACAAGTCACTGGGGGATGAGGGGGGATAGCGGCTGATTTTCCAGCCCCAAGAGCTGGAGCTCAACCCCAGCAGACATAACTAGGCGAGTGCAAGAGGCGAGTACACCAATATATACTTGACAGACTGATGCACATATAGGCTCGGTTTACCTTGTGAGAAACGCAGTTAGTCAACGACTGAGGAACAGGCTGGGGGCAAAGAAAAAAAAAAACGGCCGTGTGTTTAGAACGATCAATTCGGAAGCAGTTCGAACAAGACGCCGAACTGGGCTGTACCGTCCGGACTCCTCCCTGACTCCGCCCAGACCATAACTCCCCAACTACCCACTTCTCGATAACAATATACAAACTCTCCCTCCACGCTGCCCGCGCCTCCTGCCTCGTACGCTGTCCTCCTGGAGGTTAATTTCAGACAGTTGGATGCGTTTTCAGCGAGGTGGTATGTACGCCAGCCTGGAAAAACTAGGGGGGAGGGCCCATCTGGGGGTAATATCCGCAATGTCGTTTTTCCATAACGGGTTACCCATCGGCCAAGCTGATAACTGAGAGCGCTTGTTACAGAAGCATTTCCTTGCTCAACACGGAGTCAGCCTGTCGTTGTACGCTCTTATCACCTTGATGACGGGGGAGGGAGGTGGTGTTCCTAATAAAATGAAATGGGCAAGGGAAGCAGTTGCGATTGTTGCTGATCGTCTGCTCTTAGGTACCCCCCCTCACACACACACACACACACACACACACACACACACACACACACACACACACACACACACATACACACACACATGATAATGGCGATAGCTTAAAAGGCTTTCGTGATAACTATGTGTACGGTGGCGATTCTTCATGTCCGCTGATAGCGACGAGGTGGATCCTGTTGAGCTCGTCCGAGTGTTGTCAGGCCAGCTTGTCTGTCTACCTGTCTCTGCCTCCCTCCCCCCCATGCCTGTCTCATTGCCTTCCTACATGCCTCCCTCCCTCCCTGTCTCCCTCACCCATCTCCCTGCTTGTCTCCACCTCCCTGCCTCCCTATTTTATTTGCAAGTCTCCACGGTTGCTTTTTCTTTCTCCGCCTGCTTACCTACCTACTGATCTTCTTGTATCTTTGTATGTTGAGTTGTCTACTTGCCAACCTATCTACTTACCTGCCTACCTCGTTACATGCTTGCTAGCTAACAAGCCAGCCAGTCGCCCAGTAAGCCAGTCAGGAAGTCAGCCAACCAATAAGCCAACGAGCTATCCAGTCACCCAGTAAGCCAGCCAAAAAAGTCAGCCAACCAGTAAGCCAACAAGCTAGCCAGCCAGCGGTTTACCGTGACGAGATGTGATGGCGATGGCGGTTTTCAGATATTTCTTCCAGAGCTTCATGTTACTTGACAAATGGTCTTATGACATTTTTTTTTTTTGAGCTGCAGGACAGGGAAGACCTGTTCTCTGGAGACGAGAAAGTGAAGACACTGATGTGCGAGATTATGGAAGACCTGACACATACCCACGGATGAGTTTTAAAAGGAAGATCCAGGAGCTGAGTCTCGGCTTCTGCTGCATCCACAAATAGGCGAGTACAGGAGACAGTATTTATTATTGCCATCGTAACTAAGCGCTAAACCAACTAGGGACAGGAGGCAGGAAGTTGAAAGACCTAAGTACGGAAGAGAGATAACACCTTCTAGTGTGGTAAATAATACATCAGCAGATCTAAAGCCTCTAAAATAGTTTGTGAGGTCCCAGAAGAGGAAAAAAATGGGGGCAATTAATAATGAAAACGAAGAGTAAACAATGACTTTGGTGGAAAACAAACGAGAGGAATTGATGTCCCAGGATATGCGGAGGAGGCACTAACGATGAAAAATTTCCACCGGGCAGGCAGACATCGCCGCGATAAGAAACATCAGGACAAGCTAGTTCTTACACCACTATCACGAGACAGAATGCAAGGGCGGAGAGGAAAAAGCAGTTCTGACGACCGCAGACAGGTAAATCCGGGTTTACCGGGCACTGGACAGAACCGTGAAAGAGGGAACAACAGCAATGCGTTGTCATCAACAAGAGGGATACTCATCAACGCCTTAGAGAGTCTTAAGGGATACCAGAAAGACGCGCGTTAATGCGTGATTATCCTGGGTGAATCTATGAAATATTCTCACATGTTCCCCCGGTTCGAGTACCTCCAGGACAGTCATTACTTCATATACATCAGGTTAGCTGGACTCGAGTCCTGGAGGTGGGGAGTACAGTGCCTGCATTCTTGGAGGAGTGGGGATGTTGCAGTCCAAAGTTCACGCAAAAAAAGGGGTAACAGACGAGGAAAAAGCAGGTAAAAGGCGTACCAACAACAGAACGGAAGAAGAGGTAACACAGAACGTGGACAATAGATAACAGGAGCACACGCAACAGATAGCGGAGAGCAGGAAAACGGGTAACAACAGCACACGCACAACAGGAGTACAAGATAACAGGTAACGGAGAGCAGGAGAACGGGTACCTCTTGAACAGGTCACTGACGAACAGCAGGAGAACAAGTCACGGAAGAGGAGGCAACAGGAAAAGAGACAACAGGTAACAGAACCATGCAGGTAAAAAGGGCCGTGTGGGGGACAGCCTTTACCTTTGCCCTTCTCACCATCGTTCGGGTCATCATCTTTATCATCGTCGTCATCATCATCGTCGTCCGTCTTGTTCCTGGGCTCCCACGTCATCTTGTTCTCCTTCTTGAGACGCCGGCGAGCGTTGGCGAACCACGTGGAGACCTGAGTGACCAGGTGAGATACCACAGGTCAGTATGTAAACTGAGGGAGTTACTAATATAAATATAATATTTATTGCTATTACTATGCTAATACTATAACTAATAATAAAGAAAAAAAAACAGCTTAATATAATCGCCAAATAAACCGCCAAAATAATTTGCGAATTTAAATAATGACAACTTTTTTTTTACCAATTTTATTGCATCACAGTAATGTTTACATTTTTAAGAGTTTGGCAGGGATTGAACCAGTGGAACCCTACGTGGTTCCTCAGGTTCGAATTTCTTTAAGACTGTGTTGCTGACACGTTACGACGTCTAGGTATTCTGAGATGAATTTTTAGTTTTAATGTATTTGTACTTCTGGGTTAACCTGTTCTAAATCCCTTTAATCAGGTTCGAATCCCTTAATGCAATATTATTATGAGCTCAGGAGTTCTGGGTGAGATAGGAATGGGTTCAGCCAGGAAATTTTGCCAGAGTACCTGAGGAAACTCAGGTGAAAAGCGTGTTATTAATTATTGTTATATTATTATATTATTATTAAATTATTATTATTAGTAGAAGTAGTATTTTCACTTGGAAAAGCTAAATCCATAGGGAGTTACACAGCTCTTTGGAAATGGGAAGGAGTCAGGATTGATTTAAACAGCGGCGGGGTACAAGTCAATTCCTCCTATCAAGAAGTTTTTACTGGAGTCGAGACACAGCCTCTTGAAGACACCACCGTGTGTGTCTGTGTGTGTCTGTCTTGACGGGTTTCTCAGACTTATAGCCTGGTCCTGAAGCAGTGACAAATACAGTTGGAATTTCAGTCCGCAAGGGTTACTGAATTTGCTCGTTCTGTTGTCTTGTCCCATTCCTCCACCGCTCTTCGCCAGACCAGCAACCAGGAGGCCTGGTCTGGAGCCGCGCCGCGGAGCTCTGACCTCCCCGTCGGAAGCGACTACTGGTAACCTATGGGTAATCTCTTTCTACTTCTACTATTGTCTCATTCCTCTTCCTCCTCCCTGATTCCTCTCCTCAGCATCTTCTTCCATGTAGTTTTTCCCAAGCCTTCAACGTCGAGTGTCCACTTCCTCTTCTCTGCATTTTCTCCCCTGTCTTTTCTTGCTTATTTCTCAACCCCGCCTCCGCTTACCTGCTTCTCTTCCCCCTCCCCCAGCCTCTTCTTTCTCCCCGCCTCGCTGTTTACCTCTCCTCAGGTAAGTGTCACCTTAATTAGGAGGTACGCACCTTCCCCGCCCGACCCACCAGCAAACAATCTCTCTGCTGATATACACACAAAAAAAAATCTCCAAGTTTTTTAACGAGTCAATTCTCAGTTTAAACAGTTAAGGTCGAGCGGTTCCAAGGTCTTTTGACTTCCAACCGGAGGAAATTAGCCGTTTCTGAGCGTATTGAGTACAAACGGGGATTTGCCTAAATCATGCAGCCTTTAAACGGGAGACATTTGGAAATGTACATAACCCTGGTATAAAATCAGCTGGGTTTTAATGGCTGATTCAGAAATAAAACTATAAAAAAAACTATCAGAGAGGTGAGGGAAAAACCACACTTTTTATTTAGACTTTTCGCTCAGTGCAAAGTCTGTGGCAAAGATCACGACTTTGCTAGATTACAAGACGACGTTGCGCTCGTGATAGCGAGGAAGAGATACACGTTATAGAGTAGGACTTATTGACAACACATTTCGCTCCGTGTAGAGCCTCTCTGAAGTTGAGACTCGTTAAGTTCCACACACACACAGCGAACATCTCCAGGGAAAGCTTGTCTCCTTTATTAGATAACTGGGGCAAGTTCTGCCTTAAATAGGCATCATCAGCAAAAAAAAATGTTGAAATAAAATAAATTTGACCTTTTTTTTTTGTAATCACTGAAGGAAGATAAGACAGCGTTTGTGTGTGATTTTAATTCACCCGAGATTATTGTTCTGGTTTGCGACGTTACCGATCTCTTTGGTTTTGAAAATATAGGTAAAATATTGCCCTCGTGAGATAGATAGATAGATAGATAGATAGAGAGAGAGAGAGAGAGAGAGAGAGAGAGAGAGAGAGAGAGAGAGAGAGAGAGAGAGAGAGAGAGAGAGAAATCGATGGCTGGGCAAGCTCTGAACATCTATGATGATGGTGGTAATCATGACTACCACTTACACAGTCAACTCCACAACAATCACCACCATCATCACAATCTCCACAATTGCCACTTACTAATACTGGGAACAAGTGGGGGATGGAGGGTAAGTTCCTGTCACCAGCACCACCTACCACTATCACCACCTACCACTATCACCACCACCACCTACCACTATCACCACCACCTACCTGAGTAAGAGTCATCTTAGTGATGATAGCCAGCATAATCTTCTCACCCTTGGTAGGGTAAGGATTCTTCTTGTGTTCGTTGAGCCAGGCCTTCAGCGTCGCTGTGGTCTCTCTGGTGGCGTTCTTCCTGCGAGCGGCGTCGAAGGCCATGCCGTACCTACAGAAGCAAATGTAAGAAGGAAAACAGGGTCCATAAGAGAATTTGATCATCGAGTTAACCCGGAGGAGAGATGGAAATCGTGGGCAAGCTACTTGAGAGGTCATAAAAATAATGGACAGGAAGATCAGTTCAAGGATGGGTTGATTTGTATATGATAGTGTATACGAGTTGTGACCCTGTGTGTCAAGTATATATAGGTGTATATATAGGAAATCACATTCTGGAAGAAGCATATTACATAACAGAAACTGCAATACTCATTAGCAAAAGACGATAAATGAAAATGGAAAAACAAACTCAGGAAAACGAACCAATAAAACGCGTTGATGTTACGTTCTGGTTACTCTCCCAAGACAGACGAAAACAATTGAAGGAGAACGGCTGTTTTTTTTTTCTGTATTCGATGTTAATTGTTGATGTGGTCTGTAAATTCCAGTATTCAAAATGCTTGAAATCAAGTTCCAGCCATGATGCTGGAACTTGATTTCCTGAAGATGGACAAATGTATTTTAGGGTAGGATTCTTAGTCTTTCCCTTCTAGTAAAACTGTGTGTGTGTGTGTGTGTGTGTGTGTGTGTGTGTGTGTGTGTGTGTGTGTGTGTGTCAAACTATGCAAAAAAAAATGATTGCTATGAAATATATTAAAAATATTCGAGTTTGATACACTATGTCATTACTATAATAATAATAATAATAATAATAATAATAATAGTGTAGGGGACATATAGTACCTAGAAATAGGAGATAATTACGTCTCTCTCTCTCTCTCTCTCTCTCAGAAATTTTCATTCTACTTCCCATATCATTGTCTCTTCCAGTCTTCATCTGCTTCTTCTTACTTCCAGCTTTTCTTCCCTTGCTCTGTCATCCACTCATTCATCTTTTATATGTTGTTTTTTCTTTTATTTTACCATAGCGACATATCTCCACCTCCGTTCTCTCCCTAATCCCCTTCCCCTCTTTAGTTTATCTCTCTCTTCTCCTTTCCCATTCGTCTGTCCCCTTACTATTTATCACCTTTCCCCTCTGATTCTCTCTCTCTCTCTCCTCTCTCTCTCTCTCTCTCTTCTCTCTCTCTCTCTCTCTCTCACACACACATACACATCCTGGCTACTTTCTTCCCCTCTGTCTCCCTCTCTCACTTCCCCTCATCTCTTGAGAAGTGCTGACAGCAGTGGGCCACTGACCCCCCTCAGCTTAAGCAGGATTTCGGCTGGTCTACTGACAAAGCCTTCTAATGATGGCAACCAACTAACTAATTGACAACCTTCGGCCTCCACACGGACCATTATAAATCTCTCCGCCAACACAGCACGAAAGAAACCCCCCACCCGCACCCCCACACCTCGAAAAATAACATAAAACACACGAACAAAACATTGCTGCCTGATACAGCCTCTCATCCTGTGATTTCTTCCCCCCCTCCCCCGTCAACACATTGAAACTCGACTTGCTATTGGTTCAAAATATGACTCTGTGGGCCAATCAGGAGCGCCCGTGTTTGGATCTTTGGCTGCCCGGGGGAAAAGCCGTTAATTACCCTGTTGGCTAGTTAATCTGACAGCCAGTTCCCGGGCAACACAGATTGGGGATGCGGGTAGGGGGAAGAGGGAGGGGAGTGGGAGAGGGGAGGGGGGAGTGATGCAGGTGAAGGTATTTGGGGGTTTAAAAATAAATGCGAGGTTTAATTTAAAAATGCGCGCGTGTTTTTTGGTCCTTTTTGAAATGGGCAAATTCAAATAAACCTTATCCGAAATTTGTTTTGAATTCACTGTGTAACCCCGACGACGCGTACTGAATCTGATTATAAAATACCCTTATATATATATATATATATATATATAATATATATATATATATTTTATATATAATATATATATATATATATATATTAATAATTATGACTCAGCAAACAGCAGATTGTTGGTACTAACCATGACCCCCACAGTGTCTTGTTCATGAACGTACACAATTCTGATCAGTTACGTTCACAGTGTCCTGGATCCACAACGTCCAGAGTGTGGATCCATACCTCGTCAAGTGTCCTGGATCCACTAAACGTCCAGATGTCTGATCCCTAACGCCAAGTGTCTGGATCCCTACACGTCCATAGTCATGAAATCACACTAACTCCAGATGTCTGGATGCCACTAACGCCAGAGTGTCTGATCCACTAACGTCCAGTGTCTGGATCCACTAACGACCAGAGTTGCTGGATCCACTACGTTCCAGATGCTGGAATCCACTACGTCCAGAGTGTCTGGATCCACTAACCCGAGTTTCTGGATCACTAACGTCAAGTGTCTGGATCCACTAACGTCCAGAGTTTCTGGATCCACTAACTCCACAGTGTCTGGATCCACTACGCCGAGTGTCCTGGATCCCTAACGTCCACAGTGTCTGGATCACTAACGTGCCACTAGTGTCTGGATCCACTACGTCCACAGTGCGGATCACTAACGTCCAGCAGTGTCTGGATCCACTAACGTCCCAGTGTGGATCACATAACAGCCCACAGTGTCTGGATCCACTAACGCCCACAGTTGTCTGGACCACAACGCCCACAGTGTCATAATCCACTAACGTCCACATGTCTACATCCACTAACGTCCACAGTGTCTACATCCACTAAGCGTTCACATGTCTACATCCACTAACGTCCAATGTCTGGTTCCACTAACTCCAAGTGATCTGGATCACTAACGTCCAAGTGTCTGGATCCACTAACGTCCAGAGTGTCTGGAATCCACTAACGTCCAGAAGTGTCATGGATCCACTAACGTCCAGAGTGTCTGGATCCATACGTCCAGAGTGCTGGACCACTAACGTCCAGAGTGTCTGGATCCACTAACGTCCAGAGTGTCTGGATCCACTAACGTCCAGAGTGTCTGGATCCACTAACGTCCAGAGTGTCTGGATCCACTAACGTCCACAGTGTCTGGATCCACTAACGTCCACAGTGTCTGGATCCACTAACGTCCACAGTGCTGGATCCACTAACGTCCACAGTGTCTGGATCCACTAACGTCCACAGTGTCTGGATCCACTAACGTCCACAGTGTCTGGATCCACTAACGTCCACAGTGTCTGGATCCACTAACGTCCACAGTGTCTGGATCCACTAACGTCCACAGTGTCTGGATCCACTAACGTCCACAGTGTCTGGATCCACTAACGCCCACAGTGTCTGGATCCACTAACGTCCACAGTGTCTACATCCACTAACGTCCACAGTGTCTACATCCACTAACGTCCACAGTGTCTACATCCACTAACGTCCACAGTGTCTACATCCATTAACGTCCAGAGTGTCTGGATCCACTAACGTCCAGAGTGTCTGGATCCACTAACGTCCAGAGTGTCTGGATCCACTAACGTCCAGAGTGTCTGGATCCACTAACGTCCAGAGTGTCTGGATCCACTAACGTCCAGAGTGTCTGGATCCACTAACGTCCAGAGTGTCTGGATCCACTAACGTCCAGAGTGTCTGGATCCACTAACGTCCAGAGTGTCTGGATCCACTAACGTCCTGAGTGTCTGGATTCACTAACGTCCAGAGTGCCTGGATCCACTAACGTCCAGAGTGTCTACATCCACTAACGTCCACAGTGTCTGGATCCACTAACGTCCAGAGTGTCTGGATCCACTAACGTCCAGAGTGTCTGGATCCACTAACGTCCAGAGTGTCTGGATCCACTAACGTCCAGAGTGTCTGGATCCACTAACGTCCACAGTGTCTGGATCCACTAACGTCCACAGTGTCTGGATCCACTAACGTCCAGAGTGTCTGGATCCACTAACGTCCAGAGTGTCTGGATCCACTAACGTCCAGAGTGCCTGGATCCACTAACGTCCAGAGTGCCTGGATCCACTAACGTCCAGAGTGCCTGGATCCACTAACGTCCAGAGTGTCTGGATCCACTAACGTCCAGAGTGCTGGATCCACTAAACGTCCAGAGTGCTGGATCCACTAACGTCCAGAGTGTCCTGGATCCACTAACGTCCAGAGTGCCTGGATCCACTAACGTCCAGAGTGTCTGGATCCACTAACCTCCAGAGTGCCTGGATCCACTAACGTCCACAGTGTCTGGATCCACTAACGTCCAGAGTGTCTGGATCCACTAACGTCCACAGTGTCTGGATCCACTAACGTCCAGAGTGTCTGGATCCACTAACGTCCAGAGTGCCTGGATCCACTAACGTCCAGAGTGCCTGGATCCACTAAAGTCCAGAGTGCCTGGATCCACTAAAGTTCAGAGTGCCTGGATCCACTAACGTCCAGAGTGCCTGGATCCACTAACGTCCAGAGTGCCTGGATCCACTAAAGTCCAGAGTGCCTGGATCCACTAAAGTCCAGAGTGCCTGGATCCACTAACGTCCAGAGTGCCTGGATCCACTAACGTCCAGAGTGTCGTACATAAAAATATCAAAGCATTACTAATGTGTCGCATCCATCTCTGTTCCTTTTTATACCAGTGGATAAACTTGCAGCACACATCATTTACTGGAGGATTGATTTTATTTCTTGTGGAGAGGGAAGCCAGCCAGCGGGAAGCTTTGCTTAAATGACCACAAAGGTCACTTGAGATAGTTGGTCATGTAAATAAGACTCGCATTGGATTTTTTTTTTTTTTTGGGGGGGGGGAAATTGCCCACCGTCAACCACCACTACTACTATTAAAACCATCGACTACCACCATTCAACACTATTACCACCATTAACCACCACTAACACCATCCACCACCATCCCTGCCTATTTCCATCTTTCTAGGATAACCAAAAACTTGGAATTACTTACCTATCCTCATCTTCCCTTCGGAACTTAACCAGCTATCTCAGTTCCTCTTTTCTCCCCCCCATTTAATTTATTCAGGGGGGGTGAGGGATCCGAACCATTAAAAGTATCATCCTAAGAGAGTATTACATCACCCTCCCTGCCCTCACTCCCTCTCCTCTATCCATCAGCCTCTCTCTCTCTCCCTCTCCCTCTTTCTCC